GGTGGTCTTATAGATCACAGGGAGTTATTTTAATTTTCGTGTTGCTGTTGAGACTTGCTTTATGATGGGTCTGTGGAACAGATGCAAAGACTGATCAGCAAAGGAGGTCACTGCTTCCATCTAGAGTTTCTTCCTTTTGCTCACCCACATATAATAACCATGCTAAATAACTGAAACCTGTTAAAAAATGATTTGTTCACCAAAAGACTCAAAGCAAAAGTGATTTCAGGTCATCAGCTCACTGCATTTGTTGGTTCAAATGAAGTCACTTTCCTGAAAGTGCCACAGAAACAATCACGTCATAGTCCATAAGAACTCTTAGCCATAACAATGATTCTCTAATAGCTGAATTAATTAATCATTTGAAAGATTACTTCCCATCTCTCCTTTCTAATAAAGGGGTGACTTACAGAAGGGTCCTCTTGAGACAGATGCCACAGCCACCAAGAAAGTCCTACATCCTCAGGGCTATTGGAGAGATGGGAAGACATAGAACCATGGCACTAAAAACCAGGTATTATACATGCAAGGTAAAGATGCCCTTTCGTGTAAATTTCAACCCTAACCTCAATGTAAAGATCAATGAATAATGAAGTATAATTAATGTAATGAAACTGGGCTCAGGACACCACGGGGGAAATTTTAACATGCACAAAGACCCAAGTTTCATCCTCATTATAGAATAAGTACATATGTACATATAATAATATGTAATATGTATATACATATTACATATTATTATATGTACATATGTACTTATTCTATAATGAGGATGAAACTTGGGTCTTTGTGCATGTTAAAATTTCCCCCGTGGTGTCCTGAGCCCAGTTTCATTACATTAATTATACTTCATTATTCATTGATCTTTACATTGAGGTTAGGGTTGAAATTTACACGAAAGGGCATCTTTACCTTGCATGTATAAAATGAAATAGATGATAGTTAGTATGTACCAAGGAAAAATAATGCAATATGATAGAAAATTTTCCAACCATTGCATTTATTGCCAAATTCTAAGCTCCAGATAGGGAACTTGCTATATAGCAGGAAGATCTGAAATTAGGGCCTCTCTCTTCTCATGAAAACCAGCCCAGCACTGACCCTGAAGCTCCGACAAAGGTGCTCATCCCTGGATTCCCAGTTCTTCACATTTAGTGATCAGCACTGAACAACACCCACACCATGGATTTCAGGATGATTTGGGTTTTCATTATTGGTTTGTTAAAAGGTAATTTATGGAGAAGAATAGGCACTGAGTATTTTTGTGGACATGAATGGTATAAATACTGACTTGTTTGCCAGTTGACCGGATCTCTGTGTCTGCAAGTGATGAGGGCGAGGTGCAGCTTGTGGAGTCAGAGGGTGACCTGGTGTTGGCTGGGGCATCTCTGAGACTCTCCTGTGCAGTCTCTGGATTCACCTTCAGTAGCTACTGAATGGGTTGGGTCTGCCAACCTCCAGGCAAAAATTAATGGAGATGGCAGTACCACAAAGCCTGCAGTATCTTTGCAGGATCAATTCAGCATCTCCAGAGACAATGCCAAGAGCACTCTGTACCTGCAAATGAACAGTGTGAAGTCTGAGGACACGACCACTTATTACTGTGCTAGACAAACAGTGAGGGGATCTTAGTGTGAACCCAGACATAAACTTCACTGTGAGGCCGCTTTCAGTCACCAAAGGGAGCATAGCACACACAGAACAAAGTTAAGTCCAGCAGACCATGCAGACATGATCCTCTGTGGTGTCTAGATTGCATTTTTTTCAAACAAGTATACCCTGAATATCTGACGTCCTCAAAACATTGTATTTTTTATACAATATTTAAATATATAAGGCACACTCCCCCATGAACAAAATGCAAACTGGCATCTATGAGAACAAAAAGGACCCTGACATAGTCACTGAAGTCACATGATGAGGAAGTTGTTGGAATCTCCCGGGTCTTTTCATATTCTAGGAAGAGCCTTGGTCAGATTTCTTGATTATAATGCTCATGGATTTGTGTTTATGGGAAAACCAGGATGAAAGAAGAGCCAAGATTTTTAGACACAAATTGTAGCAGGTCTGGAGCCTCCTCTCTCCTCCACTCCCTGGAGACAGTGCACAACAGGTTCAGATCTGCCCAGCTCTGTGTTTTCTGAACCAAAGCTTCTCAATGCCATTGTCTATCTTGAGTCTATATCATGTGCAGAAATCTATGAGCTGACATTATTCTGGTCTGCTTGACTCTTGTTGCTAAACACTGAGACCAACAATGTTCTCCCATGACATCCTAGAACTCAGCTGGGTCATCTATAGTTCTGGACCAGGAGCCCATTCAAATTTGAATTAGTAAATTAACAGATATAAGAGTCGCTGGTTCAATTGACCTGTCAGCATGTCAGTCAACAATCAAACAGTGAAGACTGCACACAAAGCAATCCAGTGTCTTTAATTATAATTAAATATATTGACTGAGAAATCAAACAGATATTCATCTTGTATGTTTACTTTTATAGCCTCTAGAAAAGGAAAACCTGACATAAGTACACCTGGTAAAAATAGAACCTACAACTGCCTGGGATAGGGCATGAGCGAGACTGAGAAACAAAAGACAAGTGGATGTGTGACTGAAGTGAGCCCATCCTTCTGGGAGGCTGTGCAGGTCACTTGGAGGACTTGTTTACTGCCTGGGGGACCAGACTCCAGCATCACAAGGCTCAAACAGAATCAATCCATGGAGTCAAGGTACTATGACATTTTTTTTTTAATCTGAGAAATTAAGGGAAAAGACATAGACACTGTTTTTATAGTTTCCTTCTTCATTCTTTTCCTGTATTCTTTCTTCTGAGTTATATATTCTCTTTTCTCATCTCTATTCAGAATGTCCCTTCTTGCTCTGTTGATGTTTTCCTCCTCCTGATCCTTATTTTTCCTTAAGCCTCCAGGCACTGGCAAAATCTTTCAATCAATATAAAAATTACATTGTGGTTACATTCAATTTTTCAAGGAATGATTACAGTGAATATAAGTAAAAAAGAAGAGCATATGTCCCATATCCCTTACATGATTAAACATTTTACACATTTCAGGTGAAAAAGAAGTTGTAGATGGAACCCATGAACATCCATACCCAAGCAAGTTCTTGGAGATTAACAGTGTAAGCAAGAAAGGTATTCTTTTCAAGCAGTTCTTTTACTGGCAGACTGCATTTTGTGGCTACAAAGAAAGGACCAATCATTATCTTCTTAATCTTGGAAGGCAATCTTCTAAGAAATCTCAAAGCAATCATAAACCTAAAATTTTATATATGGAAACCAACAGCTCTAGTTTAAATCTCTAAATTTCATACCCACTTGTTAACAGGTTTTTTATATCAGGAGATTGGGGACAGAAATTGGTACAAGGCATTAGCCATCATCTTTAATCATCAACCAATTCTTAGCATAAAAGCATGTTAGTTAATAATAATGGGGGTGCTTTGTATCTGTGATCCTACCCTAAAGAATCTGCAACACAACTATGTGTCCTTGTGAACTTCAGATTATTTTATGGGACATTTCATCTCAAAGCTATTATCAAATCATCTAATCCAACCAGAAGTTGTTTTCAGGATTGGTTGCAGCTATGATGCACACCAAAACCTGTGAATGTGTCTTTCAACATTTACCTGAACTTCAGTCTAAGCAACTGTAAAGGTAAAACTCAGAGGCCCTACTGTGTGACACTTCCAGTATTTATTTTTAATCATCAAAACTCTATTTAAACTAACTCTACTATTATCAGTAAGGCAGCACACCTTAAGATAAATCATCTTTATACTACTCCACAGGTAAAAATGCCCAATAGAACAGGGTGCTTCCACAAGATACACACACTACAACACAGTTATTGGGGATCTCCCCACACCCATTCACACCACATAAGAGTCCAGAGAAAGATGGCAGCGGCAAACAAGTAAAGGAACAATGGAAATAAAAGACATTCTGGAGTCTGTGGTCCCAGTTTTTGCCAAGCAGGGATTCACCCACCAGGGATTCACCTCCTGGTGAGCTGACACCTGAACATCAATTGTCCCCTGCTGCTCTTCTGACAGGGCCACCAGCAGACACACAGAAGTCAAAGCTCAGCTCTCCTTGAAGTTAAGCTTCTCAGTCACTCCCCATTCCTAGGAACCAATAGGTAAACGTGCAGCAACGGAAAACTGAATTAGATGATAAAATAAGAAATACACCCTGTCTGGGAAAGCTCATGCAGGTGTTTAGCTGAACACTGGGATTCAGGCTACACCTGAACTTCAATTGCCCCCTGCTGCTCCTCTGACAGGGCCACCAGCAGACACACAGAAGTCAAAGCTCAGCTCTCCTTGAAGTTCAGCTTTTCAGTCACTCCCCATTCCTAGGCACCAATAGGTAAACGTGCAGCAACGGAAAACTGAATTAGATGATAAAACAAGAAATACACCCTGTCTGGGAAAGCTCATGCAGGTGTTTAGCTGAACACTGGGATTCAGGCTTGTCACATGACCTCCTTACAGAAAGGGAGTTCCCAACCTCAGGAAGCTGCAGCTCACAAAGCTATAGCTCTGTAGGGAGTTTATGTTTATCAAGGATGATGTCCACACAGCAGTGCCAACTCCTAGAGAAATGAGAATGACAAAACAACCTGACTGAGGTTTGTAATCACAGACATGGAGAATTGAGTTGAGATTAACATCAAAATGAGTCTTTTGTTTGTTAAAGGGATAAAATGAGATGATTGAAAATGATGTAATTTAATATCATCTTCCCCAACATTAACATCATGATATGATTCCTCCAGCACATTCACAAATAATCCAGGACCTGCCATCTCCAGGCTCCACTACAGAGCTTGCTATAAAGCAGGAAGACATGCAAATGGGCCCTCTCTGTGCTCAAGAAAAGCAGCCCAGTCCTGACCTTACAGCTCAGACAGAGCTCAGCTGTGGATGCAACACAGGAGCTCAGCTGTGGATCCCAAGACTTCACTCAGGGGTCAGCATGGAGTTGGGGCTGAGCTGCATTTTCCTTGTTGCTCTTTTAAAAGGTAATTTATGGAGAGCAGTAGATGCTGACTGTGTGAGTGGACATTAATCTGAGGGACAATGGACACGTGTGATGATTTCTTGACCAGGATTTTTTGTGTGTTTTCAGGTGTTCAGTGTGAAGTGAAGCTGGTAGAGTCTGGGGGTGGCCTGGTGAAGACTGGGGGGTCTCTGAAACTCTCCTGTGTAGCCTCTGGATTCACCTTCAGTGGCTACTGGATGGACTGGGTCCGCCAGGCTCCAGGCAAGGGGCTGGAGTGGGTTGGAAATATTAAATATGATGGCAGTACCACAAACTATGCACCATCCGTGAAGGGCCGGTTCACCATCTCCAGAGACAATGCCAAGAACACTCTGTACCTGCAAATGAACAGTGTGAAGTCTGAGGACACCACCACTTATTACTGTGCTAGACACAGACAATGCCAAGAACACTCTGTACCTGCAAATGAACAGTGTGAAGTCTGAGGACACCGCCACTTATTGCTGTACTAGAGACACAGTGAGTGATCTCAGTGTGAACCCAGACATAAGCATCCCAGGAGATTATGTAGACAGGGTTAGATGAAGCACCCATCAGATGTCTGGGCTGCACTTTTTCTTGCTGTTTTCTGGAAATTCTCTCTCCACGTGTGATGTGAAGAGATACAGTGTCCCCAAAACATTTCATGTTCTCTTTGTACTATTTTAAAAATATGAAGCACAGTCCCCATAACAAGATGCAAACTGACAGCTATGAGGACATAAAGGACATTAACACAGTCACCGAAATCACATGATAAGGAATTCCTGGACTTTCCTGAGTCCTTTCTTACTCCAGGTAGAGTCTTGTTCACATTTCTGGATTATATTACTCATAAATTTGTGTTTAAGTGAAAACCAAGGGGAAGGTGGGACCGAGATCATTACCATCAACCCTAGCAGGTCGGGATCCTTCCCTGAACCTTCCCTCCTCTCCTCTAACTGAGGACTGTGCACTGTAATCCAGATGTGACCCAGTTGTGCTTTTATCTAATTCAGTTTATTACTGCATGACTTTCATCTCTGTTCACCATGGAAATTTGTTTAAACTGATCCCTTCAGTTGTTGAAAGATGTGAATGAGTGTGGTAACTATGGTTTCAACACTGGGGGACAAACAGATTGGTCACTGAAGCTTAGGGACAGGTCATTTGTGCTGAATTGATGAACTTCATGTTCAGTGAGAAACCCTATATTAAACAAGGGTTATAAAGTGGGAGGGGAAAGACATCCAATACCAACTCTTGCCTCTGTGTGTGTATACACACAAGCACACTCATCTGTGTACACAACTTCACAAAACCACAAGACTTTAAAACAGCAGATAGACATAGAGAGATAGAGAGAGACAGAGAGAGAGAGAGAGAGAGAGAGAGAGAGAGAGAGAGAGAGAGAGAATGAAAGGAATTAGTAAGTGGACTTGAAGAAATAGTCTGAAGATCCAAAACAAAAGAGTCAGCATTTGCTTCATCAATTTGCCTCATTTTTGGAATTTGGAATAAAATAACAATTTTTGTAATTTCTATGAGAGTTTTTGCACACATAGTCCTTGCCTTATAGTCTATGATACTCTACTCCAGAAACCATCAATGGTTGAATGTCTGAATAAGTGTGGCATTTCCATGAAATACCATGTTGTCTCTCAACAGGTAGCCTGCAGTTTCCATGTCACAGTGCAGATAAATCTGGAAGAGATTGAACGTGAAAAGAAACACGACTATTATGTCATACATCACATTTCAGTCTCAGTGATAATCAAGGACAGATAAATCCTAGAGAAGCACTGTTGAATGAGGACGGGGACCTGGGAACATGGGTGTGCACAGGGGATGCATGGATTTCTTTGTGTCTGAAGTTATGTTAGGAAGTAGAGAGCTGGGGACTCCCCAGCTTTGTGAACGCTGTAATTGTCAGGTTTCTGCTCACATAAATGGTTGCTCATGTGGATTTCACACAAACATAGAACTTGATGAAGCTAGAAAATTAAATGAGAAACAAAAATTTGAATTAAAATTAATAAACCTATGAATGGTACAGTGAATACATCTGTATACACTCCCATGGAGAAAACACACATTAGAATTCTGAATGAGGCTGTGAGTTCATGCCAGAGAGAGATAGCCACACAGAGAACACAAGAGACAAAAATGTCCATTCTCTTGTCTTGTGTGAGATGTGGAGAGAAACATCTAATTCCAAGTCTCTAAGCTATGTCACTGACTGTGACCGATCTGTGCCCCCTCAGACCAGAAATCATTTAGCATCATGATTGACATTATGAGAAATATTGAAACATCTAACACAGGAGAGATCAATATCTGGAAAGAGCAACAGCTAAATGCTCAGTAGAGGAACTGCTTCATGTGGCACAAGAATTCACCATTGTTTATGTAATTATCATGCTAATAGCAGAAGTAAACAAAAATAATTTAAAGCATAGTCTGAAATTATCAGAAAATTATGTTATTCTGAAGTCTTTTCTTCCCCGTTTCCAAGTCATGGATTGGCTGTGAGACAGGACTTTGTTCTGGATAAAGGGAGCCATCATGATGCTCTGACCATCAGCCTGGGGCCAGCATGCTGCAGGGAGTCAGTGTTCCATCAGGGGGCATGAAGTCAGGTGCACCCTTGAACAGGTGCACAGGAGGCCAGAGAGCACTTCCTGTGAGCCCCGGCTTCCTCTCCCAGCCCAGTGTGCGGAAGAAACTGCAGGACCTTGGAGCTGGCAGTTGTTGGCTTTAAACATCAATAGTCACAAGAAAAAAGCAGACTGCATTGCTCTTTAACATCACTGAACCTGTGAAGAAATCCCTGGGCTCTGTGAGCTGTGACTTTCATCATTCTCTGTCCTCTTCCCTTTCTCCAGGATGCTCAGCATCTGAGAGAATTGAGATAACTGACCATGTCTCTGCTACAGGTTATGTTTTCTCCTGTTGCTGTTTTTAAAGTTTTCAGAAATAGACCACCATGAAGCTACTAATGTTGAATAAATAGAAATATCATATATGTGAGTCAGGAGATTGACAGATCTGTAAAGTCAATGAAATAAACTCTCTTCCATGCAATTACTGACTGCATAACTGCCAGCCTGCAGATGGCAATGCTCTGCACTGCATCCTTAACACAGTTCTCATCTGATGTGTTTCATACTGAGGACCTGGGTTTTTTCATGTTGGCTCCTGTCTTGAGTATTGAGCAGAGGTGAATTTCCCTGAGGCATCCCTTGTAACTCATCTCACACCAGCTCCCCCTGAGACCCATAATTTAAGTCCTCCATCAGAGTCAGCTCCTGGTGAGGAAATGCAAATCTTTCCTGGCTCCACCCAAGCAGAGGTTGAAAAAGCAAGGCTGGGCCTGGGCACTCAGTGGTGTGCAGACATGGCCCTGTTTGCCTCCTCATTCCTGCTGCTTATTGTGCCTGCATGTGAGTGCCGTGGATTGCTACTGCATGGACCGCAATAATTCACTCTGTGCCAACCTTACCTTCTACTTTTTCCTCCACAGATGTCCTGTCCCAGATTACCCTGAAGGAGTCTGGCCCTGGGCTGCTGCAGCCTTCCCAGACTCTCAGTCTGACCTGCTCTTTCTCTGGGTTTTCACTGAGCACTTCTGGTATGGGTGTGGGCTGGATGCGACAGCCCTCAGGGAAGGGTCTAGAATGGCTGTCAGACATTTGGTGGGATGATGATAAGAGGTACAACCCAAACCTAAACATTTCCTCCTAGCCTCTGTGGTTTCCTTTCCATTCTGAGTTTCATATCCTTGGCTTCCTGTTACACAAACGAGGCCCCTTTTAACAATTGTTCAGATATGAAAATCTATCTGTTGTATTTTATGAAGATTAAGAGTTTGTGGTCCCTAATCCAGGGGGTTCCACTCAATCTTCAAAGATTAATCTTTGGAGATGATGGCAATTTATTGGACTACACAGTTATCATTCACTAAGCTTATAACAAATACATCCAAGTCTTTGAAAATCTTTAGCAGCCATGACCTGCATCTAAGTAGGTGGAGGCTGAACTTAGGGAAAATATGTCTAGAGAGAGAAGAGATCCACCTGAGGACAGAGACAGCATCTTCCATTCAGAAAGGTTTATGGCAAAGAGACCACTCCATCACCCTTAAGTCTTTACATGCAGACATACAGCCTTGATGATAGAAATGATAAATTAGAAAAGAAGATGGAATCACAGTCTACCATTTCTGAAATTGTGGTTCTTTCTCAAGTGTGAAAACATTTTGTAGAGATGCCAAGTGATCTATAAGTAGCAGGCTGTGATTCATCCTCTCCCTGGTGTTGTAAGGCTTTGTGTCCCAAAGGCAGCTCCAAGAGTTGACAAATGACCTGATAAACAGTGTCCAACAGTTGTGCTGCTAACTCACTTCCCCATGAGTGGCTAATGATACAGCTAGATGCAACAACACCTAAAGAAATGACTGTGGTTTATGAAGATCTTCTAAACAATTCAGGTACAGCTTACCTTTTGTCCTCAAATTATCACTCACAGTCACCAGGCAGACAATGAAGAAGAGAAAGAGGTCCCATTATACGTGGACTGTGAGACCACAGACAAACTTACATAAACAGGTTCCTAAGACCAGCAGGGGGCGCTGCAGACCCACCAATCCCTAAGAAGTAAAGCAGAGTAGAAGTAGAGCAGGAAGCTGTGCACTGAGATTTCAGCGACTGTGTGGATTTCATTGTCAACATCACGCATGCAGAGATCATTGTGTGGTTGGCACATGAGATCTTCTTGCTCTAACACAGGAGAGGTTCTTTGTTAACCAGAACCATTGTATGAACCCCCCAAATGCCACACTGGATTCCTATTGTCACTGTAGAGATACAAACCATTTGTAAGCATAGATAAAATAAACGTGGGCCTCAGGACCCTGAGAAATATTTTGGGAAAAATGCCCCAAGGCTTGCAAGCTGATTTCAGGGGTGTCCATAGTCCTGCTGATCTCTCACTGGTATGGCAAAGACAGCAGTTTCCAACGCTTTGTGCTAGTGTTTTATTGGGCCAGGATGATCTCAGTGGACTTCTCATCATCACATATATGGGTGACCCTAAGTTGGTTCAGGTGTTCCTTGAACCATTAAATAAATGGTGTTTCTGCATTACAAACCTGGATGTGGTGAACTGACTCTCAGTGGGATGGAAGAGCTCTGTGTGAACAGTGCCAGGATGGAGCACAAAATGATTTCTTGAGACACATTTGAACCTCAGACCTCCAGACCTCGATGTCTAACACAGAAGTTAGGCATCGAGGTCTGGAGGTCTTTCTGATCTTTCTCAAACAGGATCAGCTCTGATCTAATAACTACCCTCCCTCATGAATATGTAAATTGCAGGTTCTGGTTGTGAGTAAATAATGTCCCCATGCCCTACAGCAGCAGGCTATTACCCCATTTCCCGCAGTCCAGAGCACACAGGTTTTCAGCAT